TGCCTTTATTCTCCTGTCAGGTATTTAGTGAGTGAAACGCCTCCAGGCGTTTGTTTTTAGATGAAAGCAAAACTTGCAGGAGAATAAAGGCATTTTTGCCACGCAAAACGTTTGCTAAACTTCGAGTGACACATCACTAAATGCAGTTTTAGACGCTGAGCACGAATATGACGTCAGTTTTTAATGGAAAATGTTTTTGATGGGTGAAAAGTCGGTTTTAATGTTCAGAAACCCGTTTTCCCTGTGAAATGAACAAGTCTAAATTTCTCTTTTCATACCCCTATATAGTAACTACTTGACTACATGATAACGCAAAGATACCCCAAAAATGTTTACCCTCCCGTGCAGGAAAGATATTTCAAAAATCTAGATGCCAAAGGCCTAGTGATTGCCAAATTTTACCATAGAGAGCGGAGCCAACGGGCAATCTCCTGGTAGTTTCACAATTAAAAAAAAAACCTTGGTCACAGACTTATGAGCAAACACTGATCGTATAAATAATTTTGGCCGCCACTGTACTTTATTTTTAATTTTGTCAAAAAAATTTAAAAACTGTTCTCCAAACAAATGTTAACTATTCTCGTTTCAGCTATAAAAAATATGTTCTCTAAAAAATGCGAACCGTTCTCCGAAAAGTGGAAAAATGTTCTCTTTTAAATATTTTTCCATGATATTCTATTAACATCTCTGATTTATTTCAACAATTATTCTAGATTTATTGAGAGTCTATGTTTATTTATGGTTCTACCTCACTAAATTTTTTTGATACCAAAAATTTCCTTGGATCGTGTTAACCATTTTTTAACGCATTGAATAGCACGAAATATTAAGAAGTTCACACGATGATATGATTGACTTTAAAAAACTTTCTAACACATCTACATGTGTTAAATTTTGTGTAACAAAAGTAAACGAAAAAGTTCGCATCTATTAAAAAGTCATTGATGCGTTAAAAACGAATTCAAATGGATAGTTCAACGCCTTAGCCTAGCGAAAAAGCACGTTTTAGTCTCATATTAAATTTTTTTAAGACATTTCTTGCGTTAAAACTCAATTAACCAAAAAGGTTTTTAACGTGTTTGGATAATTTTTAACTTTGACGCCTTAAAAATTCTTTTCCACGCATTAAATTTTTTTAATAAATTCAAACGTATTAAACTTGTTTAATTCATGAAAATAAGTTAAATTTTAACAAATTTGAATGCATTCATGTATGACCCATAGCAAGGGAAGGAGCCAATTTTTCGAAAAGCTCTTAAGTCCTTTATATTATGTTTGATTGAGTAAAAAGGGTCATCCTAGATCAAACTTTTGAGAGGAATCGAATGATGATGTCAGAAAAAGTTTAAAATACTTTCCTATAGAATGCGGGTACTATTTTTGTTTTTGAAAAGCGTCACTGCATTCACGTACATTAATCTGACGACGATGATGATAATCTGATGAGTGATGAGTGATTTTATTATTAAACATTTTGTTTTTATCCATTTAATAAGTTTAGACGTATTAAAGGTACAAAATGCCGATTTTAATGAGTTCAAAGGAAATTTTTGGTATCAAAAAAATTCACTGGGTAGATTTCTTCGATTAAACAAATAAAAACAATTTCAGCAAATTTGTCATTACTATGCTCGAATAAAAACAAAAAGAAGATTAACAATGACCACTGTAGTTTGGTGATGCTGAAGACGATTATAAATAAATGAACTCATCTAAAAGTAGACAAAAAAAGTGAAATATTATCTATTATGCCATTGTTGACAAAGTTCGAGATGAAAAACAGTTATCTATAATTAGGTTAATTAGGAAAAAAATTTCTTTTTTAACAAACCACTTGTACTTTTCCTCTCACGAGGGCACTCCCCAACTGTCCGATCGTTTTTTTAATGAAATCTACTGGGTTGTAGGTAATCGACCGTGCTGATTCTGAATATCAACATGAGACATGCTGCTAGGCTCTAGAGACTGGTTTCTAGAAACTCCAAAAAGTCTCCGAAACTTTTCTTAATAAAACATGCTTTTAGCGCGTGAAATTCTGATCAAAATGAGGCATCCCCCACCTCTCCATGACCTTTCTTAGCAAAGTTATAGAATTTACAAGAAAAGCCCTAAATTAATTTCTTCTTATTTCTGTAGCTTAATGAACATGTAGGACTTTTCTTGTAAACTCTATAACTTTGCTAAGAAAGGTCATGTAGGGGTGGAGGATGTCTCATTTTAATCAGAATTTCGCGCGCTAAAAACATGATTTATTAAGAAAAGTTTCGGAGACTTTCTGGAAAACTGGTTTTCTAGAAAACCAGTCTCTGCAGACCTAGCAGCACGTCTCATGTTGATATTCGGGATTAGCATGGTCGATTACCTACAACCCAGTAGATTTCATTAAAAAAATGATCGGACAGTTGGGGGAGTTCCGTCGTCAGTTGTTTGAATATGTTTTTTTCTATCTACCATGTAATATCAAATATTTGAGTTATATTTATAAAATCACAAACACAATTTCAAAAACATTTTAACATCGAAACAAATTTGTGAAACTGTGTATTGTATCTAACTACCGAAAATGTTAGAGCACCAGTTATAGAACCAGTTATAGAAAAAATAAAAGTCTATTTGTAGTATTTGATTGTCAAAAATGCCAGCTTCGTAACTGATGCACATGTTTTGTTTTCTCTTTTACAAATAAATACAAAAAAGTTAGTCGTAGATATAATAACAAAAAAGAAAAGATGAAGAGAAAGTAAAATTAGGTTATGTACTATTCCTTCTCGAAATAAGTTTTCAACCATAAAAAAAATAACAGAAACAAAATAAGTCAAGAAAAATTCCATTTAAAAATGAAAAAGAAAAAATTTTAAGTTGTGAAAATCTAATACATGTTTAAAATATAAACAGCACACAAATGATCAAAATACACATAATACAAATATTATCCAATAATTGCTTCATTCATAAGTTCATCTTCGTCGGCATTTTTATTATTCGTATTATTATTGATAAGAGAATAGGGTAGTGTTCCCGACGGTGCATTCGGAGTTACGGAATTTCCACCACCACTCACAGACGATGTACTTTGACTACTTGTATCAATAACTAATTGTGAACTAGGTGAATCGTCATCAAAATACTCATCATCCATTGGCGATTGCTGTTGAACTGGAGTGGAAGGAGGTTGAGTTTGTAATGGATTTAGTCTCGGCGGTTGTTGACTAGGAGTAACTTGAAGTGGAGGCTGTAATAATGGTCGAGATCCTAATGAAGAATGATAATCATCTAAACAAAATCAGTAAAGTCTTATTTATTCAAATTTTTATCCATTGTCCTTCTTACCTTGAGAGTCTGTAGTGCTTTGTTCACTTGACGCTTTTTTCAGAATCGATCGTGGAGGCATTTGTGGTGAGGCGTTATTATTATATGACGGAGGAGGAGGCAAGGGTGTATATGTGGCAGTGGGTGGTGATGTCACTGTTCTCATTCGCTGCTGATGCCATGGCAGTCTTTGCTGTTGCTGTTGCTGTTGTTGTTGTTGTTGTTGTTGTTTATTTAAATTGGATGTTCCTAGCTGACGCGGATTATTTGAGGACATTTGTGCGGGAGGAGATTGCCAGCTGCCTCCTAAGAGTGGATCGATGTTCTTTGGCGGTGGTGGAGAAGGACGAATTTTCATCGCTGGTGTCATTGATGCTTTTATATCAGTCATAACAGGAGATGCAATGGTGACAGGTTTTTTTGTGGATACAAACCGAGTGGATTCTATGGGTTCTATAATTTAAAAGAACTATGCTTACTTTTTAAAAATAAAAGCATTTATTGCGTGTGTGGTTACCTGTTTTAATTTTTGGTGCTATGACTTGTGATTGTTCAACATTTGTAGCCGATGTGCTACTTTTCAGACTGGATACTTTTGGAATTCTATAGGTGGGTGCTATTGATGTTGCGGGTGGTGGAGGTTGAATAGGTGGTGTGAGAACAGTTTTTGTCGGTTGGTGCTGTTGTCCGTTGGTGTTTGGTACAGATTTGGCTCGATTATGTTTAAATTCTTGTCTAGTTGCTTCTTTAGAAACAAGTAGTTGGGCAGTGTTCGGAGCACTCATTGAATTTGCCAATGGAACATCGAGTTGTGATGCAGCTGGATTGTGGCGTTTTATTTTTAAAACAATTGGAGGCTTGACTTCACTTTGAATCGAAGGTGCAGCAGTTTGAGGTAAACTTGATCGATTTGCTGTTAACGATGAGCCTGGCACAGTGGCGTTTACGGATGGACCAGTCATAGACGGACGAGATTGAACAAGTGGACGATCTCTGTGAATGGAAATAGCGGTAAAAACTATGTTTGTAAACAGAACAGACGTATAAAGACCCTTTGCCTACCTAATAGATCCCTCGTTTCCTGTTAACTCAGATATAGCTTCTGTTTTGATCACATTTGATGCAGTGCTCTTTTTTGTGGCTGTCATCGGTGGTGTTTGACCAGGTAGTCGTTTTCGTGGTTGTTTAACGACCGATTGAACACCTGTCATCGTCTGTTGTGATGGTTCTCCGTCTGAGATTGTTGTCGAACTTTCGCCACCTGCCCCGCCCCCAACTCGTTTAATTACAACTTTTAATGGTTTAAAGTCACCACTGCCTGAGTTGGAATTTGTATAATCGGGTGAGGATGAAGAAGATGTTGGTGTCACTGCATTTGGTTGAGATAAGGAGGAATTGATTTGCGATTGTTGAGCAGAAGCTGACGAAGGTAATAGTAATGAATCTTGACTATGCACTTTGAATGTGCTTTTACGTTGTTGTTGTTTAACTGTGCCACCACCGTTCACATTGTCTTTTCGGCCCCGCTTGATTGAACCTATAAGAGAAAAATGAGCCCTCTAGAAGTCAACACATTGTTAAACGTTGTAGGCGCTTTCCCTTCACCACATGATCTCGCATCATTTGCCACTTTTAGTAAACGTCCCATTTTTCGTGTGCTCAGCTTTGCGTCTATGCCACTTGAACTAAGTGAGGCGTATTGGATAAATAATCACAAATTTTTCTCACCTTTTGCTCAACTGTGAAAGATTTTAATGTTTAAATTATTCTTTTACCTTGTTGGTGTTGTACTTCTGCCAATTTCGTCGCTCTCAATGGTTGTGGCTGGTCATCTGTATTATTACCCAATTGGTCTTTCGATTGTGATCGTGGACGTTTTTTAATCTTCTGATGAGAAGTAGAAGATGCGCCTGTTTGAGCGATATCTGACGAAGTTGGTGATTGAATTGGACTAAAATTATTTCCATTTCCATTCGAATCTTGAGATGAATTTTGTTGGACTGGTTTATTACTGCCACCCCCGAAGAATGATGCTGGAGGCGTAGAAGGTGACAGTCCAAAGATAGGTGGAGTAGTTGTAGATTGTGTACTTGATGGAGTTGGCGGAACTCCGCTGCTTATTGGAGTTGTAGGGGTCTGTGGCAGTATTAAATTTTGAGGCATGGTGGATGAAAACCCAGCAGATTGTAAAGTTTCAAACAGAGGTTGCTGTTGTGTTGTTGTAAACGAAGGCAGAAAAGGATGAGGATTACTTGTACTTCTACGATAGTCTAAACAGAAAAAATAAAGAAAATTGTGAAAGTTTTCTATCAAAGAGATGATTTGATGTTTTATGAAGTATCACAAAGATCTAAGTACCATTTTGGCTTTTAAAACTGATTGTTTAATACAACTGTCATTTTTTTGGTAACAGTCATAACTTATTAAAGCTTACCCGGTTGAGAATCTTGTGATTGTTGCTGATCGTATGATACTGGCTTTTTTGTTGTTATAACCAATTTCAGTCCATAATCGCCATTTTTAGTTGTTATGCGAGGTGATGACGATGTTTCATGAGAATGATCAGACTGTGAAGTTAACAGAGACACAAACGGTGAATCAGCTGTTGATAAAGAACGTCGAATAAGAGAGGGCGATGCTTCTCCTAAATCTTGCTCAATGTCATATGGTGGTTGAGGGGGTGATTCGTCGGGATCCTGTGTGGGTGGAATTGTTCGATCATTCGAAATTGTTAAACACGGTTGAGAACGTTTCAGAGAATTAGTTGTACGCCATTGGAGACGAGGTGGCCCAAATGATAATCTACGAGTGACACAGGGAATTAGCGAGGGTTGTTGAACTAAAAATAGCGTATTTAAAATAGCAAATTACAGACTTTTTCCTTTGAACATAAAAATGGTAATTTTTTTCAAATTATTGTTTTGCTTACTTTTGTTGATTGTTGTTGCTGTGAGATTCGGTGGCGATAATATTAATTTTGAATATTGATCGGGTGATTGTGACTGCTGAAGTTGTACCGATGGATCATGAGTTGTGGTGGCAGTAAGTTGTGATTTGCGAAACTCTTGCGAATGTTGTAATCGTTTTTGTCTTTTCAATACGAAATAGATAAGTTCTAAAATAGATGAATGTGTTCTAAATTTAACTTGATCTTCATGTTGATGTGTAGAGATAATTTTTGGACTGTAAGGATCAGATAAGTTTAAAATAAATGTATATAAACAATTTGATTGACAACATGATACGGATAAACTGTCGGGAGTTATTAAACATAATTCACACGTTATTTCACCACTATCTTCATCTTCTTCATCCGATTCCATTGATTCTTCTCTGAAAGAAAATTACTATAATAGATAAATTTTCTTAACAAACTAAAGATAATGTACCTGTTCTGACGCCTTTGTTGTGTAAAGCATTCTTGCAATAATCGATTAAAAAAATATTGTTTTTGAATTAATTTCATTATTTGAAGTAATTGAGAGAGATTCGTGAAGCCTATCTGTTTTAATTGAGTTGCCGACATATCTCCTGACAGATAATACTTGATCTCTTTATTTAATTTCTTTGTCATTATTGCTTGTAAATATTGCAATGTTGTTAAAGATGAATAATTATCAATATCTGTTAAAATTCTAATATCATTAGCGATCGCTGATAATATGAGAAACGGTCGATGAAATTCTAAAACAAAATAGCCTGATAACATTGAACTATTGTCCAATGTCTGTGGAATAAATCTAATGTCAGAATTGACAGATAAATCCATAAAATTATTTGCAGATGATGACTGATGAGCATGAAATTCAATAACAGATTTATGAGCTAATAAATATTGTTTGGATGTGGATGACGGACATAAATTGATAAGAACATACAGTGGACAGGGATCATAATTTTCACCATCTAAATATGATAAATATAGAAAAAAAGTTGAAAAATTCCAAGCATACGAAAATATAATGAAAAGTATACAAAAGCAGAAACTATCTATACTTTGTGTGATTCTTAGCAGAGCTAATTTCCGCTAAGATTTGAGCAGAATACGGTATAGCAGCTGGACCCCATCAGATGCAATCGTGCAATAAACTAGCAGTACAGACAGATAAAACACGTTAAATATTAAGAAAATTCTATTTTTTATAGAACTGACGATTGTACCTGTCGTTCAGCATACATACTCGAGTTATCAATTCTTATTTCTACACCATTTGTTTGATTTTCACTCAAACGTATTTTCATTGGTAATCCTTCACAAGACGGTTGAAAACCCTGTAATTGTTTATAAATACTTTCTTTGTGTAGTAAAGATAAATCATATTCTAAAGTTTTAAGTGTTTTATAGCCAAGACGTTTTGAATCATTTTCTGTTAAACAATACATAGACATATAACCACTTAAATGTTGACGAAACAGTGAATAATTTTGAGATCTCAACGCTTCACACATGTGAGGACATGAAAGTTTGTCACCTAAAACTTTCAAAAAAGTTAATATATCTTGACAATTTCTTACTATTGCTAATATATATATTTTCTTTCATCTTGCATTTTTTACCTTCAATTCCATTTGTGGTTGCGTTCGTTGAAGATGATGTGCCTGTTGAAGACGAATCAGTAATACATATATTAACGGATTGTAATTTTTCCTCATCGTCAAAATTAATTTCAATAAAAAATTGATCACAATGAAAATAGATATTTGAACTATCTTTAAACAGTTTTATATTACAATATTGAGCAGCTAATTCTAACTGATCATAAAGACGTTCGTTAGACGTAACACGTGATACTGTTGGTATTATAGAAGAAGAGTTAGGCTCAGTCAGATATAAATGAGTTAAAAGTTTTTCATAACATTTATGCAATTGCTGATTTAAATTAGTATTTATATTGTTGAAATTCATATTTCGTTGTTGAACATGACGCTGTAAATCGGACCAAGATGGAGGCGGTGTCAAATATAAACGTTCGAGAGACAAATTACTTAGCATGATGGAAGAAACTATAGAAGATGTTGACATTTTTTACTATTATTTTAAATAATCTAAAATAATTTTAATTAGAAAAACAGATTTCAAGTTTTCAATCAATAAGTTAAAAAAGAAAGACCATTTGAGAACTAAACTTCTCGAACTTTGGCAAATTATTTGAAGAATGTAAGTTATGATTTTCGTTCATCTTTATCCAATTTTTAGCGGAATTTTCTTTCTCTCGTGTGCGTTTTGAAGTCAAACGTTAGCACAACATATGTCAGTCAAACATATATATTTCAGAATGGTCACATTAAAGAATTTACAATACCTCAATAGTACTATTTTTTTCGACACTTCCGTTAAAATACAGATATACTACTATTGCACCAAAGAAACCAATGAACATAGTATTTAAGCACTTCGCGTTTTATTGGTCAAGGTAATATTAATGAAAAATAACGACATCTATCATGTTGATGTTGACAATGAGACATCATTTCCGCATATTATTTTTTAACTAGGAGTTGAGAAAATACTGGAGTCTCGGTAAAAGAGTAAAAAATTTGATAATATTCATTAAGATAAAAATACGCTAAGTGAAAAATTAGTGTTTGTGTTGTTTGTTAGTGTCAATATGAAATCATATTGTTTTTAACTTTGTATGCGCTCACTAGATCGAAACCGTCCATTAGTGAATGTGTATTCAGGCATATAGAAGTTTCTCGCGGCTCTTTTTCACATATTAAATTAGAGAAAGACGGTCTTGTTGTAAATCTCGAGTTGTGTATACACTAGAAATGGCTTGTTTTTTACCATAAAACCCATTTATTCGCATAGAATATCGTCTTTTACGAAAGGATCTACAGAGAATTTGTGCACCGACTCACATTTTAATCACTCATGCAGTTATCTACATTCTTTAAGTGCCGTAGATATATGCGCATCGTTTTTCCTTATCACGATACATATATTACAAGGGCAAAATATCATTAAAGAACAAACTGCAAAAGACTATACAATAGAGACTAATAAAAAAGAAAACGAAAGCAGTATATAGAAACGAAAACAAGTTACGTACTGCTATACCGGGAAAAGTGATGAAAAAAAAAGAGAAAATTCTGATCAGTTGAATGTTTTAATCCAATGTGTTTTGGGTGTTCGTGTGCTCCTGGTAATGTATTCACGATTACCCATGACTTGTTGTAAAGGTTTTGGAATATAGACTTGTTCGCCATTCTAAACAAACAAAGTTAATCTGACTGGTAAATAAGCTCGTCGACTATCTGATGAATACGATAGTGATAAGTAACGCTTACCGGTTTCCAGTTTGTTTCAATTAGTGCTGTCATGACACGTGGTATAGCCATCGCAGTGCCATTTAACTAAAAAAATTCGAAAAGTGCATCACAAATTCTTTAATTTATAGTTGAGTATGAATTCAAAATATTCACAAAATTTAATAGTTTCAGATAGAATAAGAAAACCACAAAAACTTACTGTATGTGCAAAACGTTCTTCAGTATTATCATCGATATATTTAATATGTAATCGTCTGCTCTGAAAATCACTACAATTCGACGCACTACTTATCTATAATATAAAAAGAAAAAATGCTTTTTTTTCTCCAGTTTATTACTACTTTACATATTCTGTTTTTCTTTCTCACCTCTCCATAAAATTGTTTAGCTGGCATCCATGCTTCAATATCATGTTTTCTGTAAGCTGATAAACCCAATTCTTCTGTTGGCATATCAAGAATTCTGAAAAAGTACATTAAAATTGTCAAATTGATCAAAAGTAATATTGGCATTGTATTGTTTCTACCTGAAATGTAGACCTAATTCACTGAATAAATCTGTTTGTATATTAACTATATCTTCTAACATTTTATCACTAACACCAGGTTCATCACTTGTCACACAAAACATTTCAACTTTTGTAAATTCATGCACACGATATAAACTACCTTCAGATTTTCCACCAGCCACTTCGGCACGATAACACCGACTGCACGCTGCCAGTCTAAATCACATGAAAAAAGGTAAGAAAGGTAAGAAAGATGAGAATAAATTTACTTTAATGGTAATTCATCTTTTCGAAATGTATTATGTTTTAATAGTCCGGCTAAAGCCATTTCAGATGTACCAGCTAAACAGTAACGACCAAATTCTTCGCCATAATCTAACTGATAAACTTGAGTACGCTTGCCTTGAGTGGGAAAACCACATGATTCCTAAGTTCATTATTAATAGTTAATAAGTATTTTCTTATCTTTTCTATATAATCACTCACTATTATTCCACGATGAATAATATCGGGCACAGAAACCATTTTGAAACCCTAAATGATATAAAAGAAAAACTATGATATGTAAGAAGACAAGTATTTGTAATATTCAAAACGTACATAATTTGTTAATTTTTGAAATGCATAATACATAAGTGCCCGTTCCAGACGGGCAAAATCGTTGAATAGTACATAGGCACCTCGAAACGATATTTGACCCATATTTCTAAAATAAATAAACCAAACTTGTCATATTAAGTCTATAAAAAAGAAGAATTAGACTTACTCTAATAACAGCGTATCAAAATCTGTACCAATTTCATCGATACTTCGTTGTGATAAACTCAATTCTAGAGACAAAAGACAGAAGATGTATTATTAAAAATTAGAACTGCTGATGTAGCGTCGACTACACTGTCGTTCAATAATTATTGTCTTACCAGATTTTTCACCAACTTCACGTATTACTCTTGCTTCCGTTTCACGTCCAATTGGCTAAAAAAAATGAAAACTTCGATAAAGGTATAAGAAAAGCGACTAGAAAACAGGCGATAAAAATAGAGTACCTATGACTCACAGAGTCTGGGTGTGCTTGATTTGGTAATTTCATTGCTTGATTATATAAATCTTGAATTTTTAGTTTTATTTGATCCTAAAGTAAAGAAAATGACGTAATATGCCAAACCAAAAATAAATGTCTTACTTCTCCTTGTGTTGGATCAAGTTTTTTCTCTTCTACTCTATGAATTAAACTTTGAATTTCTTTATGAAGATTGTGCTACAAACAAGAAAACGTTATTAATAATAAGTAAAACGGCGAAAAATATTCGTACCACATGCAATATGTTAGCGTCTGCTTTTCTAACAAAAATATTTTCGGCAATTGTATTTTCATATTGTGGATCGAGTATATGGTCCCAATTTAATTGTGCTGCTCTTAAATCAATGCCTTGATATGGATTTAGTCGATTGATGTAATTTTTAACTTGATCCAAATAGACTTTATGATCATTGAACGGATTAAATCCTGAGGATTTTTGTACATGAACAGAATTTTCTTGTTGTTGTTGTTGATGATAATAACGTTTAGTTAAAAAAAATATACATCTTCTAGTTGCATTTCTATTACCATAGGAAGAAGATATTTTATAAACTGAGAGCGGCATGTTCTAAAACATGTGATTGATTGATTTATTCACAAAAAGTGAGGAGTCATCAATGGTCTACGACCTATAATAATAATGACTTGATCCAAGCAAAAAAATGTGTGACGATAGATAAGGAATAAAATAAAACAAAACAGATAACAAAAACATCAACTAGAAATAAATAAAATAATTAAAAAAACAGAGAAGTAACTAGCACGGGCTTTTTGACTAACAACAAGGCTGAATTTTATTGAAGAGATGCTGAAATAGAGTTTTTTTTGAAAGACGCCAAGAAGAAATAACTCGGGAATTTTATTCCAGCCAGTGACAGTTGAATGGAAAAAGGAAGAAAAAACTATTTGTGAAGAAAAACCATTGACAGGGGGTGAAAACCGAACATATTTGCGAAACAAGAACACCAAGACAGCGAACAGAAGACACAACAGAGAAGAATAAGACAGAAATAAAAGAATTAACACTCTGAATAATATTGTAAAAAATTCATTTTATGTTCAACTAACATGTAATGCGTCTAACATAAAATAATGTATTTCTTAATTAATATACTCGAACGGTTATTTCTATTGGTTCTTCAGTCACCATTATTTTCTTGCTTTAAAAATAATCGAAAATATCTGTACTTTTGCGACATCTTGCAATAAGTAGGCGTCCTATAATATGTGTAAAAGTCTTCTAAAACCAGCAGTAGTGCTCACGAGACACGATGTCTGGATGTAGCATCCAGTTACATCCGTTCAAAATTCAGACTTCATTGATTTACGCAGCGAACAGGACGTCTTTGTTTGATGGTCGAACGGGTGTCTTGAAGAAATTTAATAAAATGCTTTGCCAACAAAAGCAACATTGTGACCCTACTACTGGCATCCACCCAGAGCGAGGAATCGTGAAGTATGATCCTGGAAGACAAGATTACAAGATTTCACAAGAATCATGGTTCAAGAATCTTATAAGATCTCGCATGATCGTGCAAGAAGTGACACGATTTTGAAAGATTTCATGAGATCATATAAGAATTCATCAGATCTTACAGGATTATGTCTCTGGTTCTCTCCTGAAGTTGAAGGACGAAAAAATTTCCAAGTTTTGTCATAAGAACTATTATATGTTATATATATATATATTTATTTACTATAGATCGTATAGTAGC